TGTTAATTATGTTACTTGATATATTAAGTTATCAAAAATCAAATATAATTTAAAAATGTTTTTATATAAGTTATATAAAATAAATTTATATTCATTTCTTTAATGTTCTTTTTGATCATTTTACATGTTTTTTTGTTAAATATGATTTGTTCATCAGCTATCAACTAACTTATCAATCATTAACTAACTTATCAGTTACCAACTAGTTTATCGTTATAAAATTACTAAATTACCCACAAATACTTACCACAATATTCAATACATGTCAGTGTTCTTTTTATCTGCTCTATTGCTATCAACTAGTTTATTATTAACTCTCATATGGTATGGTATCAGAGTTTCTTTTATTTATTTATTTTAGAGTTGAATGTAATTGATGGATATGTCTGTATTTTTTTATAAATTTTTTTTATTATAAATTCTTTCCTCTTTTTAACTTCCATTTCTAGGGGTGTAAAGGATTTATAGACAAAAAAAAACTATAAAAGTGTTGATAAAGTTGTCCCACATTTGAAGAGAGATAAGAAAAGAAGGATGTAAATGTGTTATAAAAAGAGCGAAACGTGAATGAAATTTGTAACTTTGTCTTTTTGATGATAAAGTTTGAGGTGCATCCCTTTTAGTTTTACAAAGTTTAAGAGAACACCTCTTAAACTCTTAAGTTTTATAATTTATAAGAAAAAAAATTCTAAAATTTCATAAATTAACGGATGAGTTTGTTTTGAGCTTGATTCAAGTTTGAATTCCAACTTGATTCGAGCTTCAAACGAGCTCGAGTTTAAAAAAATTGAAATTGAAATTGAGTTTGAGTCGAGTTTTAGTTTTTATCTACTCACGAGTTTCGAGCTTGAAAAATGACTATCGAGTTTGAGTTGAATATATCAATACTCGAGCTCGACTTGCATCATTTACACCTCTATCATTTTCCTCCCATATTTGGGAGGAAAATCAACATTATTTTCTTTCACTTTTCCTTCTTAATTTTTTTTTTCTAGAACACAGTGTAAGTGCTTATCGGATAAGAATCTTTCCCATCACGTAAAACTCTAGGTCCTTCCTATGTTCATCCGAAAAATAAGTGATAGCCAGTAAAATACTTTCCCACTAAGGTGATGTTTGTTTTTAAAAGGTGTTGAAGTCTGATTTCACTTCTGATTTATAAGAGGTGGACCTGAAGTCTGAAATCTGGATCAGTAAGATTGTTTGTTTTTACATCTGGAGTCTGAAACTTGAATTGATCAAACTAGTGAAAAAATATATAAAATAAATATATATTTTTTTACAAAAGTATAAAAGAATAATAGTTTTTGCTAACAAATCTCTTCCAACCCTCAAAATATGAACCATATGATAGAAGGTGAATTAGAATTAAGAGGTATTAAGAGATATATTTACCACTTAAAATTTCAGAGAACATTTAGAGCTTTTAAGCTCTTATTTTAAAAATAAAACAAACGCTCTTAATTCTCAAATATCTGAACGAATCAGACTTCAGAGATACTAAGAAGTAATTTTGAAAAAACAAACAGATATTGAACATTTGGTAACTGAACCTTCTCAACATAAATCGTTTATTGATTTATAATAAAAAAAATTGATATAAAATTTAATTTCAAAGAGATGTTTTAATTAATGAGCAGAAAACACATGTTTCACATCTTCCTCAAGTTTGGTGTCTGGAAACTTTTTTAAACCATTAATATGGGGCCTTTGCTAAATGCTTATCCGGTAAGTGTTTACTGGGTAATTTTTTTTATCGGATGAACATGACAAGATAAAAAAATTTATCCGGTAAGAGCAATGATAAAGATGAAGAGTCTTACTTGGTAAGTGAGGATGATGACTCTTACTCGAGTAAGCGCTTACTAAGTAAATTGTTGCATACGATACCATTTTGATGATCTACAATCTTACCAGGTAAAATAAATTACAGTGTTGACTCCTAAGGGTAAGCATTTAAGTAAACGGTCCCTAAGTCTTGGATCTTTGGGAATCTTCTTTAGTAGTGGCGGATTTAGAATTTTTGTCTAGTGTGAGCATCTTTAAGGTAAATTAGAAGCTCACAAAGTCGTTCGATGTGTTTTTAGCCTAATTCCACCGTTTTAAGGGATTTTTTTAAAGTTTTTTTTGTTGATTTCAAGATATTTTTTGTTGTTTTGTTGATTTTGAGAGACTTTTTTTCGTTTTTTTTTTTTGGTTGATTTGAAGAAACTTTTTCTTAATGAAAATGTCATAAAAACTTGTTATGAATAACCCAAATACTACTGATAACCACTAATAACCCAAATACTGTTGAAGCAACGACTGCTTAGTAGCTTAGTTAAACTCATCTCCAACCGATTCTGCAAAATGCATAGTCAAAATAAAATATCATTAAAAAAAAACATTTACATTCAACCTCGATAGATTTTTCATTTTAGATAATACAACTTTAACTATATGATTAAAATATTTGATAAAATATTAATTTTCTTTTATAGACAATTAATTCCAAATACTGTTATTGACGAGAATAATAAGACTTTTACAACATTTCCAACCATACTCCCTACATTTTAGTTAATGTAGGGAGTTCTTTCAGTATCAAGAAAATCAACAGTATTTTCTTTCACTTTTCCTTGTTTTAATTTTTTTTTAAAACACAGTGTAAGTGCTTATCAGGTAAGAATCTGTATTTAGAGAATTTTATAAATTAATTTGTTTTAATTAATTTATAAACGTAGGAAGTCGATTTGAGACGTTATCTATATTTAGAGAATTTTATCTTCACTTTCTCCATTTCAAAAAAAAAAAAAAAGTTCCAAAGAATCTGTTGAAAAATAAAATTGGCTAAAATCTGGATTTGTCAATGTTAAAGAAGAAGATAGAGAGTATTATCTGGTAAATAAGGATGACGACTCTTATCTAGGTAAGTACTTACCCAATAACTTGTTGCATTTGATATGTTTTGATGTACTAAAATCTTACGTATCAAAATAAATTATAATGTTGAATCATATCAGTAAGCACTTACCGGATAAGCATTTGGGTAAATATCCCCTAAGATAGAAAATCTTCTAAAATAATATAAAGAAAAAAGAAAGTCTATTTTTTTTTTTCTTTGGTTACAATAAATAGAGTAGTTCAACAATTTATTACGCAACAAATTGAAGTTGAAAGCTTGATGACATTTATTACATCATTGAAACCTAACCTAAAATAAGTAATTTATGGTTGGAATTATTTTAATTATTTGGTAAATTTATCGACATTACTAATATTTGTTGTGTTTCAGAAAACCGAGTAGAAGTTGATTCACTTTGTCGGGAAATTGTTCCTGAACAAAATGAGAACCTTCGGGTAAGTATACGATTTCCAAGTTTGGTACGTATTTCTTGGCTCCGTTCTGTAAGTATTCCTCCATTCCAGGGATGTTGAAAAAGAAATCTTGTTTGCCTGTGATGAACAGTGCTGGAGCTTCAATTCTCAGATCATTCGGGTCCTGGTTTGGAGGTTCAACTCTCTCCGATAATGACCTGCAATGATTATCGAAATTGAAGACAATATAAAACCAGTGATGCAGAAAGGCTAAAAGAGGTCCGTCCCCATTAAATGAATTGTTTGGGCACATGGTTGATGTTAGGGGTACTCAAAAACTCGACCAATCCGATCAATCCAACGCGGAATAACTCAACCCGAAGCAACCTGATGTCTAATCAAGTTGTAAATTTTTTAAATCGTAGATATTGAGGTACTACTATTTGAACCCAATCCAACTCGATGAACCTGATCTATTTTTATTTTTTTGGATTTAATATGATTGTTGAATTTCTATTAATATATACATTAGACAATTACACTTTTCATATACACATATTTTCAATCTATTCACATCTCTATATAACTCATTCGTATATATATGTTCAGTAACTATGAACATATATATGTAAATTGAGAAAATTAACACTAAATATGATATACATAAGAATTATAGATAAGTTGTATCAAATGGTTGATAATGAAAAAGAATTATGAGTAGAGAAATAACATATTCAAGGTTAAAAGAATATTTTAATGTATCAAAGTATCAACCCAACCAACTCGATACAGTTTGGTTTGGGTTGATTGTACTTTGGTTTGGGTTAAGATTTCTCAAACCACAATCATTAGGTTGAGTTGTTCAAATGTCTTCAACCTGATCAATCCAACCCATGAACACCCCTAGTTGATGTAATTCAAGGCTTTAAACTTATAGAATTACAGAATAATCCATAAACTTGTAAAATGAAATATTGGTCGTTGTTTCGACATTTTGTGATATTTTTATCATTGTTTCACATAAAAATTAGTGAAATGCAAATTTTTGTGATGTTTTTATCATTTTTTTCTCATATGAAAGTTACTTATATGATGTTTCATGTTGAAAGTAGGTTTTCATAGCACGTATCTCAGACGATTATAACAAAACTGAAAACGAAAGTTAAAGAATATCTCGTAGTACTTTAGGTAAGAGATCTATGTGACGGTTTCATCTACATGTTAACATAATACATTCGATAAATTACCTGTAAGGAACTTGGAGTGCAGTTAAAAATCCAGTCTTCTCATACGAAGCACCATAAATCTCAAGATCCTCCTCCGTAAACCAAGGGGGAAGAGGAGCCGATGATTCCATCATGTCCATTATCTCTTGGTTTTCATCAGCTATAGGTACCTCACTACTACTGAACAAAATATAGATTTTTCTCACCACTGTTTTAGCATCAAATCGGCCGAAATCAGCTTCAGCTCTTCCAGGCTCCTAATAAAAATTTCAGTTATATTGATTAAATTTTACATTGGATAATTAAAGAAGCAGAGAGGGAGAGAAAAAGAGTGTGTACCTGCCATCTTCGCATGTAAAAACCTTCAGGGAGGGTTTGAAGTTGCTGCAAAGCTTGAGGGGGCATATATGGCACACCAATTGTTACAATTCCTGCAACTTTCTCTGGAAAGAAAATGGCAAATATGTACCCAACCATTCCTCCAAAATCTTTACCAATCACGAATACCTAAGAATCGATACAAACAAGGGTAAAATGGTCAGTATCATAGTTAGTACAAATATTTTCTGTAACAAAACACACACACACACACACACACACATATATATATATATATATATATACACACACACCTTAGATACGGCAAGAGAAGCTAGGATAATGGCCGTATCTGTAACCAAATTAGCGAATGATGTCTTCTCGGGTTCCACAGGGATGTCAGATAGTCCGTAACCTCTGTACTCCGGTGCAATGACTCTGAAACCGGCCTTTGCAACAGCAACCATCTGATGGCGCCATGTATACCATATCTCAGGAAATCCGTGAAGGAGAAGCACCACGGGCAATGATTCTGACCCTAGTTCTGCTACATGGAGCTTCAACCCGTCAACTTGGATGTAATTGTGCTTAATTTGATCCATTTTCACAATAAGATTGAAAAATGAAGACTAAAAAAGCAGGTGTTGGTTTGGGTTTTTGGGTTTCGGGTTTGTGCTTTTATATGGTGTTTTCAGAACCATAATTATTGTGATTTTTCGAAGATATTAATTTTCGAAGAATCAAAATCATGAGTAAGATACGCTATAAAAATATAATTTGATTTGGCAGTTGGCAGTTGGCACGTACATCTTCAATCATTTATTTTAGAGTAAATTATGGTTTTAGTCCTTGTAGTTTGTTAAAAATTGAAAATTTCATCCTTATGGTTTTTGAAATTGCAGTTATCATCCCTATGATTTGAGGTTAACTCCCATTTGTAAGTATGAGAGATTAAGGGGGCATTTGGTTTGACGGAACGATTTTATGCGATTTGGAATTGCAAGAATTTAAAATCTGTTGGCGTGTTTGATGGAATATCGTAATTTCAAAAACATACAAACAAAGATAGCCATTTTCAACAATCCATAGGGACCAAAAATGTAATTTAGTATTTTTTTTTTAAAATTAGTGCAAGTGGAATAAAAAAGGGAAAAGTACAATAAAAACCAATGAACTTTCTTGTTTGGAATGATTAAGTCCTTGAACTTTTTTTTGGAACAAATAAGTCCTTGAACATTCCAAAACATGTTATATAAGTCATTGGACAATTTTTTGGAACAAATAAGTCATTGGACATTCCAAAATATGTTAAATAAGTCATTGGATATTCCAAAAAATGTTAAATAAGTCATTGGACAATTTTTGTAACAAATAAGTCCTTGAACAATCCAAAACATGTTAAATAACTTCTTGAACTTTTATAAAACATGTTGGATACATTCTTATGACTTATACAACTAGTTAAAGTGGTAAAATAGTGAAAAAAAATCCGAAAAAAACCCAATGAACATTCATATTTTGAACGATAAAGTGGTAAAATAGTAAAAAA